ACGCATCCCCGCTCGTAGGTAGGCGCGCAGGTCTTGTCTGCGAACAAAGTTTTGGACGCTAACGGCACAACATTGACCTACTATCACATCACATATATCGCATTCAAGCGCAAGTTCCCGCGAAACCCTAAACCATCTATGTTTTCGGCGGTACCAAAAGCAGGCCACACGATGATCGCTGCGTATGCGACGCACACCGGACGCTCAGATCCACACACGTCACACATTATATAACTACAACGCCTGCATGCGGGGGGGGTACGGTAGCCCCTGGGGTGTGCTTCCCCGTTCCCCATTGGGCCTTGTTTGATGCCGAGAGGGTCGTCTGAAAGCGAGGGAAAAGTCATGTTCGACGAGAACGGCGGAGTTAGATCCACGCCTGCACGGATAGTCGCCATAGACCGTGCTCATCGGTGAATAACGTTCTGCGAATCAAGAAGGCGGCAACCATGGTATTGTTTCGCTCAAACCTTGCCGTCTTTCTACTGTCCATCTCCCCCCGTCTTGCAAACCTTGCTGTCTTTCTACCCTGCATCTCCCCGTCTTGCAATTGGATCCTGTCGTCTCGCCCAAGGTCGGGTCACGTGTCTGCGTAGCGGTTACGCCAAGCATGGGCCGACGTGGCGGGGTTACGACGGGTGGCGCTTATCATCTTGTGGCTGTATGTCTCTCTCCTTGCGTTTATGGCCCTGAGAGGGTGTTACGGTTCTTGTGGTTTGGCTGCGTTGTGGTGAGCAATCGATGCTCCCTTCGGTCGGTCGACAGCTGATATGTCGTGATAAATGGCCAGCGCGCGGTGAGCGATTCCCGCCAATGGAACATGAGGCCTTGGAGGAAGTGTTCGAATGATCAGGCTCTAAGAAGGGGAAGAGAGAAGGAAACGAAGAAGACAAAGAGTGGGGGATGACTCGGGGCCGATATGGAAGCATGCTATAAGGAGAGGAGTCGAGTAATGAGAGGAAGACACGGACAGGGAGAAGGCCAGGGGCGTACGGCGAGACGCGCGATGGGAAGAGTGGGAGTCGAAGGCTGTGACTCGGGATGAGATGGAGATAAAACGGAGTAGGCCGATGTTAGGGCTGGAGGAAGGAAACGAAGAAGACAAAGAGTGGGGGATGACCCGGGGCCGATATGGAAGCATGCTATGAGGAGAGGAGTCGAGGAATGAGAGGAAGACACGGACAGGGAGAAGGCCAGGGGCGTACGGCGAGACACGCGATGGGAAGAGTGGGAGCCGAAGGCTGTGACCCGGGATGAGATGGAGATAAAACGGAAGAGGCCGATGTTAGGGCTGGAGGTTTTGGAGTGTGAGCGGGTGGGTCAAGAAGAGGGGGGGTGGAGACGAAGAGGAGACGTATGTACAGAGGGGTGTGAATAGTGGAGGGAGGCATGGGGTAGACAACAAGTTATTGTCGAAGTGAGGGAAGAGATTGATGGCAAGGGAGGTAAAAAGGAGGAGATCAATGGTAAGGGTGGTAGAGAGGCGGCGTTCAGAATGACCGAAGCAGAGGCGGCAGAAAGACGGGATGACGGTGTGGATGGGAAGGGAAGGGATGTGGAGGTCAGAAAGGGGCCAGCTAAGGGGTAAATGGGTAAAAGGGAGGCAGATACATGGAATATGAGATGAAGGGTAGAGAGGCGACGAAGTGGGGGTGGGGTGGGGTCTAAGTCTGTGAAGATGCTTATCTCTTTGTCCATCTGCCTGCCTTGCTGTCCATCAGTTTTGTTCTCTCCGTCTTCTTGCCATTTCTCTCTCTGCTTACCTCCTCCCCTTTTCTCTTGCCAACCTCCCCGTTTCTCCTTGCTACAATAGCCTCCTCATTTTCCCTGCAGACCTCCTTTCAACTCCTTCATAATCCTCTCCCTGTCTGTCTCTGCCTATCGCCTCGCTGACATCCCCTTTTCTCCTTGCTAATCCTCTCCCTCTTGCTCTCCCCCCTTCCTCCCTTCTCCTTGTCTGTCTGATTGTCCGCACCGTCCACGCACCAAGGGAAGAGACAGGCGATAGGGCAGCATGCGATGCTTCATCGCCATGTTTGCCCTGCATGCATGAGCGAACAAAAAGATTATCGCCTCCAATACCTCATACCAAGGGAGGGAACTTGAAGGCAGAAGAGAGGGAGTAACTATTGAGACAGCGCCAAAGGAAGACTTCTCTTCCCCCCTCCCTTCCCCCCCACCTCCTTTTCCCCGCCCTTCCGACCCAAACCCACTCACATTCGCTGCAAGGAGCATTCGTGAGAGTGTCTGCATATCTGTGTATCCATCCGTCTGAACGATCATCTGCCTCCCTCTGTGCACCTCTGTCCATCTTCTCTTTGTGTCTGTCTGTCTTTCCCCGGCCATCTTCGTCTTTGTCTGCCTCTCTGTGCGTCTCTCTCTCTCTCTCTCCATCCAACTCTCTTTCTCTCTCCATCCAACTCTCTTTCTGTCTCCCCCTCTCCGTCCTGCTCTCTGCGGTCTGTGTCTGTTTGGCCTCGTGTCTGCCTGTTGTCTCTCT